TCAATTTTTTTTATTATATTAAACGAATCTGGTACTAGTTTTACTTAATTTTAGTACGATTACTTTTTTACATAATCTTTTTATTTCTGTTAAAGATTTTATAAAATATTATATAATAAAAAGTTTTCCTTCAGTACAGCTAATGACGTAGAAATTCTTTAAACAATTATTTTTATGACAAAATAAAATTCGTAGTCTTGTATGAGATACACACATTTCGGCTACACCAATTATCCTTTTCAAATATACTTATAACTTAAATGTATTTATCTACTTCTACATTGACGAGCTGAGACTTGCGTTTTAGTCACGGGCTGAAGTTAGCTTTAAGTTAGTTGACAGTTGTTTAAAATTTTGAAATTTAAACATTGTGTACCATAAACACGGGTGACTTTGCACCCCGCGGGTGACTTTAACCCATTTATGAAAAATCTTTTCGCGCTAGATAAAATTAACATGTATAATTTGTTGGTCTAAACCTGTCAATTGAGCGATTCTATTGAGTTTATATTACAGGAAAATCAGTGTTTTAAAGAAAGAAATGCGATTTATTACACTTTAAAATTGTATATATCGCATCAGTGCAAAACTCTTAGAAATACACGCGTTACAATTTCTATATTAACTACAGGTCGATTTTTTATTTTTTTATCGGTAATCCCTTGATATATGTCGCTGCTAACATGTGTAACATAAAAATAAAATATAATATTGAATTCATTTTAAACGAAAAATACACTGTAAAACAAAGTAACCCGCAACCAGGGGGTAACTTTGCACACCCAGTTTTTAATTTTAATTTTTGAAACTCAGCCCTATGTAATATTATAACATAGTTATTATGAAAGAGCAACTCAATACTCAAATTTTGGTATACAAAATTTAATGTTTATGATTGTTAAAACCACAAAAATTTTGAGCTTAAGTTGGAAAGTGAGCTAAAGCCACCCGTGTTTACGGTATATAAAGTGACGAAGAATCCAATTATAAAATTTAGTCATCGTGAAAACAGTTAAAACGGCTTAAAATGGCTAAAATATGTAATAAATGCAATACAAGCATCGGCAGCAGGTCGCAAAAAATAGACTGTGGTTTTTGCTTATGCTTGTTTCACGGCAAATGTGTTCAACTAACCGATACTCAAATAAAAAACATGGAAGGTGTCTATTGGAAGTGTATTGACTGCAGAACAAATGAAAATACAAGTACAGTATTAAATGGAAATATATCCGAGAATGAAGAGTTAAAAGCAGAAAAGAAAACTAATTTTAATATAGAAGATATTATTAAAGAAATGGGTGAACGTGATAGTAGAAAAAATAATATTATTCTCTTTAACTTAAGTGAGGCTAATGGTAGTATTGAGGAAAAGAAAAAACTCGATATGGAAAGTGCAGTAAATGTTTTGAATAAAATATCTAACGGCGTGTATTTTTCAAACATTTCAACTTATAGGCTTGGAAAAAATACTACAAGCGACATAATAAGACCGCTTAAAATTAAACTAAAAAGACATGATGATGCCATGACGATTATTAAAAACAAAAGAAAATTAAAAAGTCTTGAGGAAACAAAACATATCACCATTGCAGCAGATAACACACCTATGCAAAGAGACTACTTTAATAAAATAAAGGAAGAATTGGCAACAAGGATTGAAGAAGGTGAATCGAATCTATTTATAAAATATTCCAATGGTATTCCTTTTATAGCAAAAAAGCAGGAAAATAAAACATCTTCTGGTTCAAAAAACTAAATTTAAAAATAGCACACGTAAATGTTAGATCTCTGTATTCAAATTTTCTACTTTTTAAGCATGTTTTGATGGAACAAGATTTTGATGTTTGTTGTTTAAGTGAAACATGGTTGACACCTGAACAATCCATTGATAACTTTTACATTAATGGATATACTCTAGTTCGCGCTAACAGAATTACTCGAGCAGGCGGTGTAGGAATATACTTAAAAAATGGTTTGAACTATAAAATTTTTCATCAAAAAGAGTCTGGCAGTATGGAAGTAAAGCAGCTTTGGCTTATTCTAAACTATAAGCAGAACAAAATTGGACTTGGAGTTGTGTACCGTGCCCCTAAGGTGAACGTGAATGAACTTTGGACTGTTGGTGATGTTCTTGAAAATTTGTGTGTGCAAGTGGATAGAAGTGGATAGCTTGGTGCTAAGAGGTAACTTAAATGTAAACTTTTTAAACAAAAATTCTAATGAAACCAAATTAATTGAATCTATAATTTTAAACTTCAATCTTCTTCAAATAGTAAACACTCCAACTAGAATTACAAGACTTGTACTTATACAAATTATATCTATTAGAGTCTCTGTATTACTTAGTAATACAGAGACTCTAATAGATTTAATTTGTATAAGTAAAGAACTAGCTTTTAAAAATTGTGAAACCTTGGATATGTTTAATATAACGGATCATTTATGTGTGTTTGTAGAAATTGTAAAAGAAAAACAAAAAAAAAAACAGTTGATACCTACTCTTACAGAGATTTTGCTAATATTAACTTTAATGATTTAGCCTTTGACGCAGTTAGAGCAAATTGAAATGCTATTAAATACGTAAATAATATAGATGAAAAAATAAATATTTTAAATTTAATTATTACAAAAAGATCTAATAAAAAATCGTTACCTTATATCACTTATAATATTAAACAAATGATAAAAACTAAAAATAAAGCTCTTAAAAGATATCAAAAAACCAAAATGTATTCTCAAAAATTATTTTATATCGAAATACGTAATTATGTTAATTTAGCAATACGAAGAGAAAAAAAGGTTACTTTGAGTTTATTGTAAGCAAAATAAGAGTGATAGTGGTAAGATTTGGAAACAATTAAATAATATTGGAGTGCAAATAAAATAGAACTTAAAATACCTGAAACTTTCAGGCTGAAAGTCTTCAATGCCCTGATCAACTTAACAAATACTATACAGAGATTGCTGGTTCTACCACTGTTACTGAAAATACCTTAAATTTCTATAAAAATAATAAATTTCTTGACGGCATCTCATTTAGTTTTTGTGAAGTGGATAATGATACTATTTTTAAAATGATTAAAAGCATAAAATCCAATGAGGTGGGAGTGGATAATGCTTACATTATTATTTCCATATTGAATAAATGTTTTAAGACATATTGTAAACTATTCTTTTATATATGGAGTTTTCCCGCACCAATGGAAGAGCGCTTTAATTTTACCATTTCCAAAAATTGCTAATTCTACTGTTTTTAAAGATTTAAGACCCATAAGCATATTACCCTGTTTATCTAAAGTTATAGAAAAAATTGCTTGTTTACAGTTGAAAACTTATGTAGAACAACACACAATCTTACCTACTATACAGTCTGGCTATCGTAAAAATCACAGCACAAATTCAGCGTTATTAAAGGTTGTTTCAGACTTGGGTAAATTTGTGGATAATGGTGACCTTGTTGTTTTAACCTTACTGGATCAAAGTAAAGCGTTTGATCTTGTAGACCATGAGCTTATGATATCCAAGCTTAAATATATCGGACTGGATAATGTTTCTTTAATATGGTTTTCCCAGTATTTGGTTGGTAGAAAACAAAAAGTAAAAATTAATAATATTTTTTCCTCAGATTTGGAGGTTAAAAGCGGAGTTCCACAAGGAAACGTATTAGGTCCGGTATTATTTTCGATTTTTACATTAGATATTGTAAATTGTTTTAAAAAATGTTCAATACATTTATATGCGGACGATTTACAAGTATATTTTAGCTGTAAGCAGGCAAATTTTGAGGAAGCTATAGCTATAGAAAATATAAATGGAGAATTGGATACTTTTTCGACATGGTGCGGAGAAAATGGACTTAAAATTAATCCAAACAAGTGTGGCATTGTTGATTGGTAGGGAAAAAATTAGAAGAAATGTAGACATTGAACATTGTTTAAAAATAAATAATCAAAAAATAAATTATGTAAATAATGCTAAAAATCTCGGGATAATAATTGATAGCGATCTTAATTTTGATGTTCATATTAATAATATATATAAATCTTCTTTTTTTAAACTTAAATCTTTAAATGAACTAAAGTATGTGCTTGACGAAAAAACAAAGTTAATGCTAGTTAAATCTCTTATTTATCCGAAAATTAACTATTGTAGTTCTGTTTATTACTTTAATTTAACTATGCATAACAGGCAAAAACTTCATTCAAAATGCTTGTATTAGATTTATATGCTGTATTAATTTTAGAAACCATATTACACCATCCTTAAATCGATTAAATGAAATGAATGTATTTCAAACGACATTTTTATTTTCATCTTTTTTGCATAAAATTGTAAAAACAAAACAACCTGTATATTTATTTGATTTATTAAAACTACGTTCACACAGTAAACATTCGAACAAAAAATTATACCAAACCTCAGCATACCACAAGCAAATTTAGAGGTTGTTTTGAATTTTGGGCTCCAACATTGTTAAACTTTATTTTTGAATATTTGCATTTATTAGAAAATCAATTTAGACCGAATTGTAAAATCAAAATTTTAAACGAAACTATTAATTTGTAAATAAGGAATTGTTATTGTTTTTTGTTAACTTTTTTATTTTTATTTTTATTTCTTTTGGTATTATAGCGTAGTCAATTATAATTATAATTATTATTATTTATTATGGGAGAGTGGAAGACCGGCAAAGTCAACTCTTTCCAAATGTGTATAAACTTTTGTACACAATAAATATATATTATTATTATTATTATTATTATTATTCCACGATTCCATGACAGTCAACAGGGATATGGGAAATAAAATAAACGTATATGTGGTATTTTAAAATTTTTATGTGCACATTTATTTTTGGATAATAGAACTTAAATAATTAATTATAATTATAAGTACAAATAAAGTAGCGGCAATATTTACATCTGCAGTGATTAATTTTCTTAAGTAGATAGCTATCTAACAATAGTAATTTTAAAATAGAAATGTATACTTGGCTTGCATACGAAAGTCACTTTTAATTAATTGTTAGTGGTAATTAAAAGTGTCAAGCACACTTTAAAATTAAACATAATGAGTATAATAGAACCCTTGGTTTCGGTTGAGTTTGAAGTATTTGGAAAAGTGCAAGGTAAATAAACTATTAATTTATTTTTACTAGTTACTCATAAATCCTATTTTTAGGAGTAAATTTTACAAAGTATTGCAAGGAACTCTGTGACGAATTAGAATGTTCAGGATGGATTAAAAATACAAAACAAGGAACTATACAGGGAAAGATTCAAGGAAGCAGATCTAAAGTTGAACAAATGTAAGCAGACAGAAATTTCCATACAGGCTAAAAATTAACTAATTTAATAAAGGGGATTTATTTTAATTTAAGTAATAATTTAAGATAAAAAGTTATTGTTTCATGCAAAATTGAAAAAAAATCATTTTTCCGTATATATATACGTACATATATGTAAATAGGTTTAGTAAATTTTTATTTTTTCCTTGTTATATTATCCTAAATAATATTATTAATTTAATTATTTGATTTCATTAATTCGCGATTATATTAATAAAAATATCAAATATTGGTTTGAATATAACCTATAACCATTTTGAAATTGGCTATTTTTTAACGACCCCTAAGCAGGAATACGTATTTAACATTTTTATTTTACTTGTTATGCAAAAACATTTTGTTATATTCAATATAAAGGTATATGGGCGAATTTTCGTTAAATGTACATTTTGTATATATATTTTGTCCAGGCAGGTCAATTTGATCGATTTTTTTTCCTTTGTGATAGAACAGTGTAATATACTGCAAAAAAATTCTATAAGTTTATAAATAACAAAAATAAACTTTAAAGAAATAAAACTTATAGGGTTAATCTAAAATAGGGAAGGAACACAAGGAAGAAATTAAACATTGTCCTCCTCCTAACGCATCTTCCTGAACGTTTAATGACACATTGCTTTTGACTTTTTCAAACGTTATTTTTCAGAAATACTGTTAAATGTAAATATCTTTCGGCATTTGTTTGGAATTTCTACTATGCTATAATACAAAATGAAAATAAAAAACTTCTAAAACAAGAGATTTATGTAGCGTTATGTAAAAGACACCAAAAGTGTACGCAAAAAAATCTTACCTTTAAAATATTTACAAAAAAAATTCACATACTTTACACGTGCTCACTTGTTGTTGCCGAACTATCAAACATGTATGCCCTCTAGAAATAACACGATAGTATCTCTATCTCGTGTCTCTATTTCGAAGCAGTCGGCATAGAAGACGACGTTAGGAAAAAGACAAGATTTTTGAATGTCAACTTTAATATTTTTTTCTGTTTAAACTACTTTGTAGAAAACTATTTTATTTTTATATACGAATAAAACAACTTTCCATTGTTCAAAAATAATTTATTTTTTCAGAAGAAACCTGCAAAGAAGAAGAATATAATAATTTAAATTAAAAAATCGCCTCTGGGGACAGTTAGGTTACAGGACATTTCACCTAGTTTTTCTGCCATATATAGAAACATAAAGTAATTACAAAAAAAATACGATGGGTCCTAACAGGAAGGGGGTATTTAAATATAATAAATACAAAACTTATCAACAAAGGTCAAAAATAAAAATAAAATTAGCTGGGGACAGCAAATGTACATTTAACGAAAATTTGCCCATATATTCATAAGAAAGAATTAAACCTTCACCTATATACATAGCAATTTTCCGCACGCTTGTTGAAAAAAAGTTAAAAATAAAAACTGTAAGATTCCCTTTCTTGTAAGAAAAATATTGTTCCTAACACGTGCACAAAGTAATTTCTCCGCTTCGCAAATACCTTTGCGCATTTGTTAATACTATTTTCTGGTAAATTTTGAATAAATTATTAACTGAACTTATTTGTGAGTTAAAGTTTAAGATACGGTGAAACGACCATTATTCTTCTTTTTTTATTTGCCCTACAAAAACGGCCTCTTAAGGTTATTCCATATATCGTGTTAAATGCCTAATTTTCAACAAAAGGTAGATAAATTCATTTTAACTGAAATATCTTTAGAAATATTTATGATAAAAAAATATACAGGGTGTTCAGAAATGAATGCAACAAAATTTGGTCACAGATTCTTGAGACAAGTTCAGGGACACCTATTTTTTTATTTTTGCCTCTTTCGGAGTTACGGCCGGCCGCGTCCTCCTGAAAGTCTCCCATGATAATAGTCTTTTTCTTATATCTCAAAAACCAGTTGTACGAGAATAAATATTAAGATTTGTTCATATTAATCGTAGGTGGCTGGCATTTGCAAGTAGCAAATTAATTTTTTGACAGTTTTCATTTATCAGTTGTCAGATTATTATCTTCTGATTATCTCAAAAAAATTGTTCGATTTTACGTGCAAGAAAAAGTTTTATTGCACCTGATTTACGGAAAGACCCATGTAAATTTACGCCTTAAGCGTAAACTGTATGCTAACCGATTTTCCCAACAAATACATCCATTTGGGAGTCCCATATCATTCGATGTTTTCGCGTGTGCTCCAGCAACGTATGGACACGGGTTCTGTAATTGTAAGAAGAGTCTTCTGGAAGACCCCAATCCAGGAAGAAGTTAAGAATAATAAACATAATTACCATTTTATTTAAGTTTCTGTTTTTGTGAAGTTTTTATTAACAATTCGGTTCTTAAAATTAAATTTAATTGAAAGTAATTAATTCCGTAAAACGTGTTCAAAGTGTGAATCGTTTTGTTCAGCACAAGACCGCAGACGTATTACAAAGTTTTGACGTATTTTTTTTTAAATGTTGGGTATCTGTTTAATTTCTATAGCCACGGCAAGAACTCGTTCTTGTAATTGTTCGCGAGTTCTAATTGGTATAGAATAGACGCGATCCTATATGGTTTCCTAGAAAGTCCATAGCGTTTGAATCCAGATAACGGGGGGGCATGCTACATCGGGGGAATTTTTACCTATCCAACTTCCTCGAAAATTTTTATTCAGCCACTCGGTTACGAACCGCCCCCGATATTGTGAGGCACCATCGTGTATAAACCATATATTTAGTCTATTATCAAGTTTCAGTTTCAGCTGATGATTCCAGCCCAGTAATTTATCTTGCGAATAAGTCTGCCTTATGACCTGTGGATTTACCACGACCCACTGTGGAACGAAAGTATATCATATTCGGACATGGGCTTATAACTCGGAAACTACTTGAGATATTTCTTTAATTTTAAAGCTAATATTGTAACGGTCAAGAACATATATAATCTTACCAACTTAAACAATATTTTATTTAGTAATTTAGTGATTAAAACTTTATACAGTACATATAAAAAAGGCTAAATTGACAAATTAATTTATTGTATTATCTTTTTTTTTTTGTTAAAAATATACAACTCTATATACATATTATTTATTTAAGCTTTATCCTTATTCAATTCTGGTAAAATGTGCCTCCCTCCTTCTATTTAGCAACGTTTCAGCATTTTCCATATTTTTTAGTAAATATTCAACTATCTTGGATGCCGCTAGTTTTCCCTCTGATCGCAGTTTAACTTTTGCGGCACACGGAATTATTGACTAAAAATAGTTCCTTCATATATTTGTATTGGACATATTTCATTTTAAGTCTATTACAAATGAATCTTGTTTTTTTTTTAAAGTATTGGGAAACCTAAACTCCGATAATAAATAGTCATTAAGAAAGTTTAAATCATTTAAATCGGGATTTTGGCTGATGAGGATGTTATAAATATCAAGATATGTTTTGGGAAGCATGGTAGAAACTGCAGTGATAATATTCGATTAAGACCAATAAGGTAAATTTTAACCTCTACTTTTAATATTTTAATCCCCAAAAAAATAATTTTAATAATTTTAAATAATTTTTTCAGAGCGAACATGTAAACCAGGTAAATTTTAATTTGAAATCTACCTTCTTTTAATACTTTATTACTATTATGCTATTTTTACAGCTTTACCTTAAAAACTACGTAACGGTTACGATCAAAAGTGAAATAGGACATATGACAGCAGTGACATGAACTGTTTAAAAATAATAATAAAACTGAGGGGGATTAACGGAGAACCGTTTTCTTTGGAATCATATAGACAAAGGTATATAGTTTCATATGGTATATAAGAAAAACCTCAAATTTGTTCCAATTTTTCTATATTTATTAATCAATTTTTTTCTTAAAAAAAAATTGGTGATTTAGAAAAAAAAACAAAAATTATGTTACAAAATTGGATCAATTTAAAAAAAAATTATTAAATTTAAGCTTAAATAGGTGTTATCATTATAGTGAAAACCGGATTTAAATTAAATTTACCAATAACAAAATATACAATGACAAAGATTATTGAATTTTTTTTAGAGATTTTTCTATGTTGCGAATAGTCAATTTGAAGGTAGTCTGTTGGGTTTATTTTTCGGCATCAAAAAAAATATATAGTGTAGTATAGTAAAAATAGTCTAGACTATGAATATCATAACTAAAATCTATTAAAATAAATTTGAAATTTTAGTCCATGTCCGACTTTTAACAGGGGACGTTCCACTGTGCGGCCCAGTAATAAAGGTTATGAAGATTTATTAGACCATCTTTCTTAAAGACACTTTGACCCAAAATTTTTCTTCGCGTCAAATCTTTTGGTCTAAGTTCCTGAACTTTTTAATAATTAAAAAGTTACAGTAATTATCGTTTTCTAAAACTGGATTCTTATTCTGGAAATCCTTAGTTGCAGTGATGGGCGTCATATGCTTATTTCAGGTTTTTCTTCAATAAAATTTAGGTTATTTTCTTCTTATTGGGTTCTTCCTGCATTGAGTTTCTTACAATTACAGAACCCGTCTACATAAGCTGCCGATGCATACGTGAAAACATCGAATGATATGGGAGTATTTGTTGAGAAAATCGGTCAGCGTACAGAATTTTCATGAGCCTCTCCGTAAATCAGCTGCATTTAAACTTCTCGTGCATGGTTAATCCCACCATTTTTTCGAGAGAAACAGAAAAGATGATAATCTGGCAACTGATCAATGATAACGGTCAAAAAACTATTTTGTTGGTCACTTTCCATGGCTGCAGCCTCGTATTGTAAGAATTTCATGCAAATCTAGAAATGGATTCGATAACAGTGCGTTTTACAAAAAAGTTTAAATTTAAAAAGTTTCTAAATTAAAAGTTTTGTGACCCCAAAGAGAAGGGGGCTACAAAAAACGTCTTAAAGGGGTCTTTAGCCAAAAACCCTATCGAATTTCACATATCATAACACCCATGTATACCAAATTTAGTGATTCTAGTACAATATGGGAAGAAGACTATTTTTATGGGCGACTTTTAGGGGGATGAATCTTTGAAACACGGGGCATCTTGACAAAAATAAAAAAATACGTGTCCCCTAAATTTGTCTCAAGAATCTGTGAATAAATTTTGTTGCCTTAATTTCGGGACACCCTGTATCCCATCGTGCCCAAATTTAACTCCGTTGTTCGTGAGGTCCATTGAATGGGCTTCGACTAGTCTGTATTATGTAACGGTCTTCGTATTGATAGCCGTGTATGTATATAATATGTGCAGGAGGGTTCAGTTATAATTTCGGTGGTACATACACTCCAAGAGACACATATTGCGGTGTTGCCTCAGTTATTTATTTAAGTGGCGCGGCCACTAACGCAAACAGGTGCGTTCTGGCGCCAAGTAATATTCATATTTAAGGAATAAACTTTCAATGGCTTGTTAATATCAATAATATAATTGAATGTAATTAGTAGCAGATTTTGTTATTATTACATGATAAATGTATAAATAAGGACCATAGTAAAAAGTATGAGAATAGGTATCTACAGGTATGTATGTTATTACTACTAAAAATCGCGGATACGATTTATATAAACTGGCAATTCTTATCAAGCCCCAGAACTAGTAACTAGTAACAGAATATATTAATTTTGGAAATGTGCTCATTTCTGTATTATCTTGGTTGCCATTCCTATTCTCCTCGGACAAAAAGGTAGTTGTTGAGATACTTGATATGTTTTGAAGCCCGGAGACGGATGGGCCGCTTCGGAGCCCAGCTAGTGGTTTAGGCGTGTATACTAGAGCATTTAAATCATTAAAACCCTATAGAGGACAAAGATTTTTCTATATGATTGTCGGAAACATTTATGTTCTTGTAAATCCTAAGCATATATTATTATACGTTGAAAAGCCCACTCGAATAAAAATATATACTGATTAATCGCTGTAAATCCCAGCGGTGTTGCCATTTCTAATCTTTTAGATTTAAAGTCAAGCTTTAAATATTCGTTAATATTCTTTATTTGTGATTTCTTAAGTTTACAGGCTTGGCATTGTAGTGTTTGTGTTTAGTATTGAGTACTGAAATACTATAATATAGTATTATACTTAGAGTTAGAATTTCACAATTTAATAAATATGCTTTGAAATTATTAAAAAGTGATTTAAGATGTGGTGTATGTAATACCTAAATATTATTATAACAGTTGTAAATATGTGACTAATAAAGAGATGATTACCACATCACGATAGTGAGGATTCATTAGTCGTCGGTTATCGATGCGGTACACATCTACAAGCAATACGAGTGTTTTATTCCAAATACCTATTATAAAATAGTGAATACCACAAGTGGCGACGAGGATATAAGTAAGTAAATATAATTATGTATGTACCTATTGGTAAATATATATACATGCTAGATGCTAAAACAAAATATAAACCTCAAAGTAAATAATAATGAAAAGAAAATAATAATAAATATATTATTAGGTACAAAATAAAGTAAATAAGCCTGGAACTTGGAGACAAGGAGGGCATAGGTATTTAAGTATACCGGAAAAATAAAAATTATTTACAAAATAAAGTAAATAAGTCTGGAACTTGGAAACAAGGAGGACATAGGTATTTAAGTATACCGGAAAAATAAAATTATTTACAAAATAAAGTAAATAAGTCTGGAACTTGGAAACAAGGAGGACATAGGTATTTAAGTATACCGGAAAAATAAAATTATTTACAAAATAAAGTAAATAAGTCTGGAACTTGGAAACAAGGAGGACATAGGTATTTAAGTATACCTGAAAAATAAAATTATTTACAAAATAAAGTAAATAAGTCTGGAACTTGGAAACAAGGAGGGCATAGGTATTTAAGTATACCTGAAAAATAAAATTATTTACAAAATAAAGTAAAGATACCTGTTACATAATGCTATCAAGATGGTATTAATCATAAGCATAAATATTTGATAATAATTAAAATGAATCTACTTTGAGTTTTTATATTTAAATACTACTTTGACATAGAAAAAAAAAATAATTCCAAATAAACGAATTTATTTTAGATTATGGCAAACATACCTCAACTTGAAAGTTTTGACTGTGATGGTGAACCTACTTCAGTAGGATCCAGATGGCACAAATGGAAGAGAGCGCTCCAAATATTTTTAGAAGCAGCGGGTGTGACTGAAACTTCTAGAAAGAGAGCAATGCTCTTGCATCATGGCGGTCTGGCCTTACAAGAGGTATTTTATAACCTACCCGGAGCAAACATACAAACATCGGAAAATAATGATGTTTACAACATCGCCATTGAAAAGTTAGATGAATATTTTGCA